TGTCCAAAATCAGTTTTCATTTGCAACATGAGAAATTGTTGGCCCAACGGCAACACGGGGCCATAACTTGTGAACGGTTTCACTTATGTAAGTTCATTAGCAACAGAATCCAGCCATCAATCAAATCAGCAAGCTGGCCAACTGACTTGGCCAACATCGATTCGGTTAGTTTGCGTTTGTGGCTCTTGAGTGGGAATGGAATGAAAATTAGAATGAGCACACCACACCACACAACACACAGACACGCAGATCGACCGACTGACGGGCTGACAGGTGAGATTCGTGTGTGCCGGGCAGGTGGAAAGTGGATGGGCAGGTCGATGTTCTGGGTTGCGGGATCTGGATCCGGATCCTTGGACAATGCCCGGGGGCAACGCGTTGTCACGTGAGCGGTGAGCTGGGCAATCAACGAATCAGGCAACCAATCAAGCGGCGTGTGACATGCAACTGAAGCGTCTACGTGACCACCAGGAGCACAGCATCCAGTCCCCACCCAATCCGAAAAAGTCACCCAGTGCAACCACAGTGGTGCTGGGGGAAACCCCTTTTTTATTTGCCTCTACTTTGCATATCAACCTAAATAAAGATATAATCAAGGTAGAAAAAAAACATAGATTCAAAGACAGAAAATTGAATAATCAATCAAATTTAACCTTTATTGGATTGAGGAAATATCTAGCCGTCCATATATAGTAGAATGGGAAAAAAATCATCAGAGAAGTAATATTAAAGGGAACTTGACATTTATAGTTATTATTTTTGTTAAACCAGAGCTTATTCCGCTTTATGCACTTTTCCAAGCTTCAGAAACTTGAAAAATATCACTTTAGGGAGCCAAACTTTATATTCATATTCATTAATAAAGTAAAATTATAGGTTATTTAGCTTTTTAAAATATTCTAATCTTTAGAATATTCCAAAAAATCACTTTGGTTACCCGAACTTAAAATTTCTTATTATAAATGTATTAAAATCAGAGCTTTTTCAGCTTTATGCAATTTTCCCAACTTTAGAAAATTCCCAAAAATCACTTTAGTCACCTAAACTTCACACAGTTCCAAAGTTCCTGGCCATATCCCGCAGAGTTCCAAACTCCCTCATTGCATTATAAACTGGCCGAACGTGCGTCTGTCAAACTGCGAGTCCTGGCCAAGGACGTGGTCCCCAGACTGCCAGACATCCAGTCGCCCCAGGCTTCAGCCTTGCATGTCAGCACCTCCCAACTCCTCCTCCTCATCCTCCTGTTGGCCATTTAGTCCCTGCGACACGTCAACGCTCTCATCATTTAATTAACTGCTGCGTGTGGCTGAATGGCCAGGTGGCAACTGGCTGGATAGGAAGGATGCGTCCTGCGTCCACATCTCACGTTTCAATTTGCAAGGAGCCTGGCGAGCAAGCCAATCCTTGGTGGCCCGCTTTGCATGTCACGTTTGATTGATCGCCCGACTGGGTGCGAGTGCTAAACGGGAAATTCGACTGTCACTTTCCCTTGGCCAGTTGGGAATGGGTGGAAAAGTCAGCCTAGACAGGACCAAATGATGGTAATGCAATGAGTAGGCAAAGAAAACCATTGGCAGCCCCAGTCGAGGGAAACAGCCAGCTGGAAAATTAGATTTCTGACATTTCTACATAAACTATCTTCTTTTATCATCTTTTTTTTATAGAAATATATCCAATACGAAATACAATTTAATAACTATGATATTTAAAGCAATTTTATAAACAAAAGGTCTTATAATCCACATTTAAAAAGAGACTGTTTAATCCTAACCCAAACCATATAAACCATATTTGAAATTTCCAATTCAAATGCCCACCAAAGATAACCATTACTATAATACCTTCACCTACACAGGGGCTTATCCTCACCCACTAGTATCCCTATGCATTTAGATTATTTCTAACCTGAAACCCGAAAAAAGAAAGCCAAGAGAACACAGACTATCGCATTAAAAGATAAACTTGTATGTGAATAATTTATGGTTTGCAAACAAGCCAAGCCAACAAAAGGGAAAAGTTACTCCGACTCTATCTGTACTTGTGCAGATTGAAAAGAAATCCAAAAGCGATATTTGCGTTGATTTATGCTTTTATTTTCTGCATTATATTCGAGTTTATATTTAAAACATTAGACAACGTCAGCGGCGACACAAAAGAGATAAAAACCGAGCTGAGGACTGCAGAAATAAAACTGCAGCTGCAGCAACAAAAATCCAAACAAATGTAGGTGGAATGTCGGGCTGAAAAGCGGGCAAATATATATATTTTATATATATATACTATACAGATAAAGCGGCGGGGTGAAAGGGCAGACAGACAAATAAAGCGGAAATGTTAACAGCAACGAGTGGCGCCGGCGACAGGAGAAAGGAGAATGGAGAAAGCGGGGTTTTTGAGGGGTCAGGGGTTGACTTTTCCTCCTTCCGAATTTTCATTTTGTACACGATTTCCGCTTAAGCACATGGGACAAGCTATCCCAGCTCGATTTCCCCCAGCCATGTGCGTATAATTTATGTTGCAATTTATATATGTACCTCTAGTTTTTTTCGGGGAACTCGAATTGACTGTCAGTCGAGCGGTGAAATATTCAGTGGAAAAGACAGGTGAGGAGCCAGGTGAGAAGTGGCTGCAACGTTCTGTTGACATCAATGCCTTGGAGAGCTGGAAAAAGATACTGCACATGAAAAATGGCTATAATATGGTAATACATTTAAAGTTATTTGGATATGATTTGATATATCAACAATTTCAAGAAGCTGTTTTTGAATATATCAAATAAAAATAACAAGTAATATACCAAGAATATATCAAGTTTAATTAATAATATAAAAACGCTTTGGAATTCGAGCACTTTCCGCTAAAGTATACTGATAAAATGTATCAACATTTATTTAAATTTTGAATTTTTATCATTAAACGATTAAAAATGGTATTTTCCTGGGTATGGCATACAGCTGTTAAACAATTCCTTCAAGTCCTTGCTCGAATAAAAAAGATCAGGAGAAAAAAGGCAAACAAAACAATAGAGGGACCTGAATAAAGGAAGAAAATGCCAGCCAAGAGGGTCCACGGAACAGAACACATTCCTTTGCAAATGTCAAGTAAATAGTTGTTTGCTTGACAATTGGCAACAGGCTGCCTAAGAAAAGGAACTCCTTCAGGACAATTCCCTCTTGGAGCCATGTCTTTGTTCCTGTTCTTGTGCCCTAAGCCCGTTAAGGAAACTTTAAACATTAGTAGAAAAATCAGTGAACAAATTCTGTAAAAGACAAAAGACAACTCGTTGGGCGCGCATTAAATGGGTATTATGTATTTAGGGAACTTAAATGTCAGCGGAAAATAAAGTATTTAAGATAAAGTATTTTTCACATTTATTTTAATGATTTTATTTAACTTAGCAACTTTGATGTTAATTAAAAGATGTCAGCGTTTCAACAAGTTTAGTACCTTCTTAGTACCTAAATTAAATAGAAGTTCAGATTAGGTTAAGCCAAATTAAAGGATTAAAATTAAAATATATTTTTTATTCGCAGTTTTTGCAGAACTTTCATGCAATTCAACTGGCTTTACATACTTGACACTTGATTATCTTTTTCCATTTTAGTTACATTTTTTTGTGCTTATCAAATTGGTTGTAAAATCCCTTGAACAAGTCAAAAACTTGTTCTCTTTGGAATAATTTGCAGTAACTGTCAAAGGAGATTTCTCTGCCATTTGTTCTTGCCTTTTTTGCATTAAGCCTGGCTATTTTTATACCTTTATCATGTTATATGTATCTCTGATAAATTGTCTGCTGGCTGCCATCTCCAACCCGTCCACTCAGCTTTAATTTGCCTGTCATTTCGCATTGCCTGCGAGGGCTAAGCTGACATTTGGCCCCGTCAACTGCCACCCACCCAGTTTTTCAGCCAAGCTGCGCACATTTTGTGAAATGTAAGCGAAAAGGGGAAAAACTTGCACAGGTCGCAAACTGGGGGCAGGAAAAAAAAAGAAGGAAACCCTGTGGGTGGAGGCTGGAATGAAACTAATTACGTGGACGACTTTACACGCAGATAAGACTTAAATCACCAAAATGAAATGAAATTTCAGTCCGGAAAAGAGAAGGGAAAATGTTGCCTCTAAACGTGCACAACGTCATTAGGAAAAAGGGCTGCAAAACAAAGTGTGAAAGCCAAGAAAGCGACCGCGAAGCGGGTTAATTACGCACAACAAACAATAAATTACTTGGTCCACGGAAATGCAAAAAAAAAGGGGGAAAAATAAGAAAGAAATTAGTAAAAAGAGACCCTAATCAGCTTAGTGGGGTTTTCTTTTTGCCCAGAAAAGATGATTAAATTTGTGTGTCGAAATCAAAGGAATATTGCGTATACGCCATGTGTTGCTGGAAATACCCTTCTTTTCTCTGCTTTCTCTGCTGTCACTTCTCTAAGCTCGTTTTTCCTTCACTTTTTTTTCGCTTTCCACTTAATTTCTTTGGCTCTTTCATTTTATCAGCTGGCTTTGTTTTTGCGAACTCGCACAAAAACAAAATACACTGAGCAAGCCAGAAAAAAATGGCGAAGGAATTTTTTAATTATAAAATGTGTTTATCCGGAATTAATTGTTTTTTTTGTTGTTGTTTCTTTCACTTTAGCAGCTGTCCCGAAAAAGTAATCCAACAAAAATAAAGTCTTTTTATCTCTGCATTTCTCTTTCACATTTCTCTTTGGTATATTACTCGCATTTTAAGCTTTGACTTTTTGTCGTGCTTAAAAGAGAGAAAAATAAATTTATTCACGAAGGATTATTTAGCTTTTTTAGAATAATTTTACGGGTGAATTCCTTTAAAACTTAAAGTTATCTCGGTATAATAAATGGTAAATTACATTTTTGCAGTCATGTGGTCAATCTTATAATCCTTTTTGCTTTAAAACAACAGCGCAGCATTTTCCCAAAAATGATTATACAGCAAAACCTTGTAAGTTATATCTCCCAAAAAACAAATTCATATAATCCTTGAATTTGGCTTCAAATAGTGTAACCCTCTCTGCCTCATTTCTACATTAGTTTTTTTACAATAAGTTCCGCTAACCGTTTCCCTAATTTGTTGCAGTCCATAGCTCCTCGCAACGCTCCAAGAAAAATGTCACACAATCCAACAGTAATCCGCAAGGCAAAATCCACCCGTATGGATAATCCCTCGATGACCCAGGCATATCGACAACAGGTCAACGAATATGGACTGCCCAAAGAGAAGATTCCCAAGATGAGTAACGTTCGACGCACCAAGACATCCAAACAGCAGGTGCCGGAACCACCAAAGGATATCGTTCACGACATGAGCAGGATAAGTAATCATTTCGATATGACTCAGGCCTCCAAAAACGCGATCAGAGTTGCTGGTGGGGGCAATGCAGCAGTGGCTCCTAAATACCAAAGTAGGGTTCATCTAAGCAACGAACCATCCAAAACTGTTCGACCTCCAGTGACCACAGCTAGTTTTCAAAAACTGACACCCAAGGAGATAAAGGAACTCAAGGAAACCAAAGATATCAAGGTTCACAAGGAACCCAAGGAAACCCGAGGTTTAAAAGAACCCAAGGAGTCTAGGGAGCACAGAGAACATAAGGAACCCAGGGAATCTAGAGAACCTAAGGAACTAAAAGAAGCCAAGGAACCTAAAACAAAGGGAGGCGATAAATCACCCCATCTCAGTCATCGTTCTACCCGTTCTAGCACCAATCGCACCAAGAATTATTTCGACAAATACCTAAAATTCGCCTTTGATCTGAGCACTCCTGAGGGTGTGCAGAAACTGGAGGACCACTTCTTTCCCAACCAATCCTTTGCCCAAAATCCAAATCCAACTGGCAGCTCAAATCTTAAAAGAGAGGGATAAGCTAAGCCCGATTTAAACAATTTCATACAAGCCGAACTATGTCGATCCAAAATTTTCAAGTTTTTTACAAGGTGATTATTAAATTGCAGCAAACATAGCTTCTAAAATTATGTTGGAATATTGTGAATACAAATGTTACTTTAGTTAATAAATCTAAATTTATTGCTTTGCTTGTTGATTACGATTATGATTTAAATAAAAGAGAGTTCTGTGTTATCATTTTTAAATTAAAGATACCTTTCAGCAGTGGAATATTAGTACCAGGAAAATAAACATCTAATATCCTACTAAACTTAAATTTGCAAATAATTAACAAGTGCTAGAATTTTCCTCCTAAAGGGATTTAGACCCCAGAGCCTAATGAGCGTTAATAACACTTTAGTGAGAGTTTTGCAAAAACAAAAAACCCCTGCAGAAAGGCACCATTCAAATAGTGGGTAATGTTTCTGCAGGGCTTAAATGAAATTTATTGTGTGGTCCAAATGCCTCACTCTCTCATACTTTTTCCCTATGCAAATGTATTTCGCTTTGTTCAACATAAATTCACACACACACTGCCATGTGGGCACCCACACTCTCACACACCCACCAACACACACACAAAATGTTCATTCAGAAAAGCAACAAAAGCTGCGCATTGGGCATTGTAAATCATAATCAAAACAATAGAACAAATGAAGCTAATGTGCCGCATGGAAAACAACAATTGGATGAATGAGTGGCAGAAAGAGAGGATATATATGGATATAGAGCAGGATATACGATCCTGGTAGTGACAAACCATTAAAGCTGCCAAATTAAATTGCGGAATATCTGATAAAGCGTTTAGTGTCCTCAGGGAATAGTTTATTGAAACAAGAGTCTTACAATAAGATAATTTAACATAAATAATAACGATTTATTTTAACAGGAAAGTAAGTCCTCAGGAATTAGTAAAAATGGTATTTTAACAGGAAAGTAATTCCTCAGGAATTAGAAATAATGGTATTTTAATAGGAAAGTAAATCCTTAGGAATTAGAAACAATGGTAAAGCATACAAAAATAGATGATAAAATAAATATAAGATTTTTATTTAACACAGTTGTGATAATATCTAAGGAACTAGGTATCTTAAAATTGTACAAGAGTTTCCTAAATGTTCTCTTAACTTAAATGAATGTATTACAGATCCTAAAAACCAATAAAAAGTTGTAAGAATCTTTAAGTTAATTTAGGAAAACAAAATTTAAGGTGAGTATATTTAGGGTATCTAAGTATCCCCCATTATAGCAAATATTTTTCAACAGGAACTGTCAGTGTCTGCTGTTCGATGCCATGTGATTTACTGCCTGTGCGCATGCATATTTTATTCAATTAATTTTTCTCATTCAAGAAAAAATAATAATAAAATCGTTCATAACAATGGCGCGTAATTAGTGGGAATTGATTTATGCGACTGTCGGAGCATCGATATTACCGAACTGAATGTTTAACAAAACGTGCTTAATGAAATGCAAATAGTGCGACAATTGAAGCCTGATTGAATTTCGCGATATTTAAAAATCTTTACCTGCAACGCTGTGTGTAGCTGGTTGACATCGGGTCAGATCTACTTTTTCAAGCATTTGGTCCCCTTCAACCAGCTGTAGCCAGTGGTTGATGACAACGAAATACGAGTGAACTGTGATAAATGGCAAACATATAATATAATATTTAAAAAGCAAAAATATCAAACAATTGACACATAGAAGATTAATTTCACTAAAAATGTAAGCGCAATTAATCTGCGAAACTATGACAATAGCTAAGATAAATATTCAATTTAATCCAGTTATGTAAATATAGTTTCCTGCAAAGCTGAATTTATGTTCTTTTGTATTTTTATGTTCTTTATGTATGCACTGCATTTTTATATCCTTGATTGTTATTTGCCAACATCGGTCTGGATTCTAATGATGTTGAACTATGCAAATAATCTTGGCCAGCAGGAATGGTTAAGGATAAGAATGGCATTGCGATGATTCGGTTCGAAGTGATTTTTAACTTATGGGTAAAAAGATATTTTAGAAGTGTATTTATTAAATAATAAAGCTATTTCTAACAGGTGGTATGGAACTAAGTTGATGTTTAGGTTAAGGTTAATATTATGTTTATGGTAGATACTTGCAACCTTCAATGAAATATATATATATATAAATCTGCTTGTCTCTACATATTAATATAATAATAAAATATATAGCAAAAGGTGTGATTAATTTTGATTGATTTTTTATATATTAATCTGTATAATGTATACATTTTTGTGATCTGAAAATACAATAATCTGGATTTGATAATCCGAATAAGTTATCTAAGATTATTACTCAACAGATTATCAAAAGCAGATAGGATTTCACAAAATGCACTTCAGCTTTATCCAAATTAGACCAAATTGCGAAAATTCTGCTTTGCAGACAATTTTCTGCTTTTCGGGAAAGCAAATAACTCATTTTCATGTCGAGTGCATTTCGACTAAGAGCATTAAGTATTTACCGATTAAATATTCGCACAAGCACACACAGTCAGCGATGTATTATATGCAAATATTTGATGAAATTCTGGCAATGGCAAATACATGAGCTACGCTCAAGAAAATCAAACAGTTTCCATTATTCAGTGGTATTTCGCTTGATCCTCGGGTTTCTAATCTATTGCTTCGATTTCGATGCAGCTCTATAAACGCGGACTATCAAACAAATTGAATTTAATTAATTTTATAGCCATGTGGAGTGAGTATGAAATGGTCACTCAATTAGTTAACAAGCTGCGTTGGCATTTGCACTCTAATCAACTCGACTGCTTCGTCCACAGTCTATTCAGAAAATTTGGCAAATCAAGTGATATGCAAATAGCCCCAGCTCTTTGAACAAACTACAATTAATAAAATGTCTGAAGAGTGGATTTGGAATGTGGCACAATAAATAATCTGACCATTCGAGCATTTAATTTATGGAATCATCTAAGTGAAAAGTTGGAATTTTGCACCGGAATTAGTTAAACAAGCAGTACTTGTTTCGAAGCAAAAAGTTTACCTAATTTACCTTTAATATTTGTAAAAAGAATTACCTTCTGTGTAATAAAATAATTATTTTCTAGATTAAAACTATTCAAAAAATGTTAAATATATTTTAATTACTACTTTGTAAGTTTTTTTGAGAACAATTATACAAAAAATTTGTCATATAACTAAAGACTGATTACATAAATCTTAACAGGATATTTAATATTATTTTTTTTAAGGATTCAAAAGAAAGCTTACACAATAAGATAAAATGGACTTGTAAAAAAGAACCCGCTTCGCTGGCCAAACTTGATCAAAGACAATTTTGGCCCGGCACGTCCATAAATTATTCAATTATGCGCAGCCCGAAACGAATCGAATCCAATCGAATCGAATCGAATCGAGCTGAACTCAACTCAACTGAATTGAAAGTTCAAATTGCATTGAATTTCAAAATGGTCAGTGTTTAATGAAGGCCCGGCGAAATGGAGCAGAAGTGAAAAATAAAATAAAAAAAGCCAAACTCTATCGCATTTTTTTTCTGGCCAAGCGAAATTCAATTTAATGTAGATTTACATGCAGTCGTCGAGGTCGAAGCAGTTTTTCTTTATTTTTCAATGGGGAACGCTTGACAAATTACCGCAGCGGGGTGAAGTGGATGTGGGTGGATTGAGGTGGTTTTGGGTGGTTTTTGGGGTGGCTGGGGGAGGAATGTGCCTGCGGCCGTGTCATGAAATGAAATCGACATGAAACCAACGTGACCAACGTCATTAATTATCGCCGGCAACGCCGTGCTCTGCTAATTACGACATGACCAGCACGCTGGATTCCAGCCTCGTTCCTCATTCCTCATCAGGATCTGAGCTCCGATCCCCAGTCATTCGTGAAAGGGGGACTATCCAGAATCGTTGGCAACATGATGGCGCACACTTTGCATTTTGGCCTCGAATAAAAAGTGTGTGCGGCCCGCCGCAAATTTATATGATGGTCAAATTGTGCTACCCTTGTTGGTTTGAAAAATTATGATCTTTAACCATTGGCCAGTTCTGTGCTAAAAATATTTTTTTATTGTTTGCAAGTTTTTAAAAGCATGTTATTCCAATGTTAATATGTTTTTCCTAGATTTTTATAAACACCATAAGAACATAAGGCTTCGCTTGATATTGCTCATTTCCTTTGTTAGCAAGTAGTTTGTTACCAATTATTAATAACTAATCATAATCTAAATAAATAAGTAAATAAATAAATTCATAAAAAAAAACACCTGAGAACAAAAAAGGCATACTACAATAAATAATGAAATGTGGTCCTAGGAACAAATCATTATGAGATTCCTATCTAACAAATCTTTATATATGTCTAAAAATATATTTTCATTATCTCCTTTGTACAAACATATAGAACAAATCCATCACAAACACACCAATATTTGTATACGGAACACAATGTTTGCTTCATTTTTCCCCAATTCATTTGACATTGCATTGTGTACCATTTTGTGTAGGAAAATCCTTATCGTAAATCCAAGTGAATTCTGACGAAATTCTGAGGAATCCAATGAAGCGCCAAGGATAATGGAGGGACCTCGAGCAGCAAGATGAAGAGCTGCTGACCGCACCATTCATTTTGTCATTTTGCAAACAAGTCGCTGTAAAAGATAAGTCGCGCCAAGTACGAAACTTAAGCCACTGAAGCGTGAGATACACACAACAGAAAAAGGACGAGGATGCCAAGGAGTGGCGACAGGAAGTGAAGGAGTAAGAGGATTTCCAACGGAAAGGAATAAAGGAACAGCAGCCAGAAGTACCAGTAAGGACTCCAAGGATAATTTTACGTTATTCGACAACATTCAATTGCAATAAGCATGTTAACTTTAGGTACTCCAAGCTAATATAAGGACCTTCAAATATATTAAATTATTATGATTTTAATTATTATAAATATATTTTGGATATTTAAAAAGATTAATACCTTTTAATTGTACAAATATAATGTTAAACTATGACATTTTGTAATACTTTGTTAATATTATTAAACTGAAAATATCAAAATAAAATAAAATAATAATAATTAAAGTGAATTATAACAATGGGAATTATATTTTT